ACAAGATATTTGGTTATTTATTTAAAACACGTACTGTACCCAATTATTCCAAGCATCCTAATTATTCACTACAAGTACTTTTTAAACTTTTTATATAATTTCTAGAGAGCAGAGTTGAGTTCTGCTGTCACGGTTAAAAAGGAAGTATTATGCAAAGCCTGAAGAGGTTTTACATGTCATCCATGCACGTTTGAACAATTTAGTGATCTCTCCTGGGCCTTTACAAGGGTCTGCCCACAAGCCTCTGACACCCACGCTCTTTTGGAGATAGGTTAGTGTCTTTACTTTCAAATAAATATCACACTATTCACAAATACATTTCTTGGTCCAGAACCAAATGACATTCACAAATACAATTCATAACTTAAAGGACCTTAAACACGTTAAATTAAATTACAAGGAGATAAACAACTTATAGTACAGCTGACAAACCACCTTCCCCTGCCATTTTTGCCAGTCAACCTGAAAATTATCTGGAACCTATGCACCTAACTACTACTACTACTACTCACAGCTGATGCAATTGGCTGTAAAAAAAACCCCAAAACAAAACAAAAACACATTTGTGCAACGAAAACTGTCAGGCAGGTCTCAAAATTCCACAAATAAATGCAGGGGCAGTCCCAAATATATACAGTGGTTTGTAAATGCAGGTTCATCGGTTTGCAAATAAATGTAACTGCAGTGACATTTGTGAATCATGTATCATTTCCTTTTGAGTGGAGAAATGCTTTTGTGAATGATGTTACATTTATTTGTAAGTCATGAATTATATTTGTGAATGTCGTTATATTTGTTTCTGGACCAAGAAATGTATTTGTAAAAGGCTTGATATTTATTTGATAATAAAGACAAACAAAACTGTACACAATTTCACAGACCTGATATGATGTGCAGTAGTTTCACAGTAGTTTGTGTTGTGAAAGGGGAGTGACTTAGAGCGAGGGATGATGGAGAAGGAGAGTCAATGTGTCAAAAAATAAAAACAGTTAAATGTATTAAACAGGTTAATATGTTGTCTGTTTGTGACTATAGCATTTTCAAAACAATAAAAGGCAACATGGTGATGGTTATCTGAATATGTTAGTAATGAATGCAACTTACACTGTCATAAAATCCACTTTATTTTAGGTTTAAAAGTTTTGGAGTATTAATTGAATTTGACTAAATTTTTGCCTCGAAAATAGTCACAATTATAATTTTAGCTGTTAAGATTATATTGTGACCTGAACAATTACAATTATCGATAAAGCGAATAATCTAGGCATTATCTTCCTGGTCTGTTGTCGTCATGCACAGCGCTCTCAAACCATATCATCTTGAAGGGACTTTTAAAATACAAAGAAACAGACGATGCATCAGTTGAGTTTGACAGGACAAACAGAAAACTTACACATGTTGATTCAGTGCACGTTACAGCCTGTCAGACAGATAAAGTACTATAGGTTAAGCAGGAGATGTTGTGTTGTGTTTAAAGTTTGTTTAAAGTTTGATCTGCAGCTGAAACTGGGACCTGCTCAGACTTGCGGTTGTTGGGGAAACCACAGATGCTTTCTGCTCTCGTGACCTCAGAATGACCCTGAACAAAGCAGGAAGTTAATGAGTGTGAGAGTTATAGAGCAAGTCAAATGCACGAAAGAGTTGATATTAGATATGTTTTTTACGCTTGCGTGGTGAGTACAGATCGATCTCTGTTATAAATGACTCTTGTGTCTCATCCTTTCCTCTCCTGTCACTGCTTTGCCCCGTGTCTGTTATTCTGTCAGTAATCTGTAGACAAAACTTTTATTTACAGCACAAAAAGAGCAGTTTTAAAAGCATTTTTAAGGATGTGTCTTAAAACTGTATTTGTTAATGTGTGCATTGTATCACCAATGTAACTAACTGCTCAACATTCCTACATAGACATATATGCAGTACACCCCCAGTATGCTGCCAGTGGGCCCGGTCAAGCAAAAGTAAACAGCAAGGCCAAAAATTCAAGTTGCATCTGATATAAAAATGTATTCAACAGATACATATGTACTCTAGTTTATGAAACTGTTGACCTTTTCTCTGTACCATTTTTGGTTCTAAAGTTCCATATGTTTTAAACAGACCATGTATGAAACATGGAACAAAAATTATTTCCCAGATTTCAAAGACCTGCAAATCATGTCAATAAATGGATGTATTGCATCATATTTTGTGCTATTCGATCTTTGAAAATTATTTTTCAAAAAAAATAGTCCCTCTAGTTTCTGAATAAGAGACATTTGAATGTCAAAAATCTGCCCCTGTTTCCCTCCGTGACCACTTGACCGGACCCCACTGCATCATAGACATTAGTTGCTGCGTATGATGCTAAATGCCATCATCAGCTCTGCTAGTCCAGGCAGAGTTTGGAACACAAGAGCCGGTCCCCTGGATTTCTCCTCTGGCCATTAGCATTAGCACATGAAAAATGCAGACTATAAATAATCTAGAGGGCGTCCCCTGGTACCAGAGCCGGTATAAAGAAGTGGACTTAAATGAGTGTGACGTCACCCACAGCGTTCAGTGCCACTCACCGAAGCTCACGATGCTAAAGGTTAGTAGCACTGTATTATGAAAAGAATTTTTTAACGGACAAAAAAAAAAAAACACTATCAGGATGACGGGTGGGTTAATATGAACATTTTAACCAAAATGACAAGGCTCTCAGCAGCACACAGTACAGAGAGAGGGGTGACAACATTCCAGTATAAGTCAATGGGAGCCAGGGTCAATGGAGCAGGAAGAACACCCGTGCTCACTTCCTGTTTGAAATGCAGCGGTTAGCGCGTTAGCTATGTCCATTCCTACATACAGTCTACGCCTGGTCCCAACCATCGACCACATTCACAGAGATCAGGGCTTCGTTTAAAGTCAGTGTTGAGTGTGGAACATTCAGGCATTTGATTTTAGATCAGAATTAGCACGTTAAAGTAGCATTTGAGCTAACAACTAACACACTTTCAGCTGAAATTTCTGAACGTGTGTGTTTCTGGTAAACAATGTGTCCACTAAAACTTCTCTTTTACATGTTAGTGTTGAGGAGAGTAGAGCCCGAACGATATGGATTTTGCTGTGGCCGATATGAAACCGATATAATGGAAGTTGGAGCTGCCGATAGCCGATATAATCACCGATATATTTAGTGATGTAAAAATTCACTGTAAATGTTGAATTGTTTAAAAAACTTAGGTTTGGCTCTGGTGGATTTTAAATTGGGTTTATTTAGGCAACATTTATTGTTATTCTGCCTCTTTACATCATATTTACAGACAGTAGGTTGACTTAATGGCATTTTTGCATCACATTCTAGACACTAGTGATGGGTATTCCAGTTCTTTTTAGAGAACCGGCTCTTTTGGCTCGGCTCACTAAAAGCTGCTGGTTCTTTTGGCTCCCAAGTGGCTCTTCAGATTGTTTTGTTGCAAGCAGGACTAAAGCACGTCTAAAGCAGGACTGAATCAGGACTGAACCAGGTCTAAACCAGGACTGAAAAAGGACTAAACCGGGACTTATTTATTTTATGCTAAACTACAGTCAAATATGCTCATTTTTTTTTTTTTTTTTTTTTTTAATCCTAAAATCCTAAATTTCTCAAAGTTTCGTTTTTAGCCGCTGCCACTGTCATACCACGAATCTGCACGCGGCGTGAAGAGAAAAAAAATTGAGAGAAAGAGAAAACACGGCTCCCAATAAGGATCAGGCTCCCGTCGTTCCCTTCAAAGAGCCGGTTCTAAGAGTCATTTCGTTCGCGACGGACCCATAACTTGTAAAGAAAGTAGCGCTATTAGCCTTTAGCCGTAAATACGTGCGCGCCGCGGTAATTAATTATATGCGCAGATGTCATAATTCACACCTCTATTCACAGCTCATTTCCATATCAGTGCAGGTCCAGTAGCAAATATACGGCCAATATAGTCACTTTACAATAGACCAATAGAAAACAGTCTGTTTATGTGCGGGAGCTACAGCAGCTAACCCATGACAAAGCCAACAAATGACAAAAACTAGCTTCAAAGTCGACATATTTCCAACACTCACCGCTCAAACAGGCTCCTCTCACATCACAAATCTGCACTAATAAATGTCCTTTTAATCCAGATTCAAACCGATTCTCCGTAAAAAGAAAATAATCTCAGTGTTTGGATCTGTGTCTGCAGGTGTAAACAAACACACGTGAGTGACGCGACTCTGTGGTGTGTTCAGGGACAGTACGAACACACACACAGACAAATGACTCCGTAGATAAATACTGATGTGGAGCCACATATTAGGACATTTATCTGTCTGTAAATTGGATTAAATGAACAGAATGTAGAGAGTCTAAGCTTTATAACAGGTATAACATGCCCACGTGAAATATCGGCCCCTATCAGCAAGCATATCGGCCGATAGCCAATATGCCTAAAGTTGCCCATATCCGCCGATAATATCGGCCAACCGATATATCGGTCGGGCTCTAGAGGAGAGCACATAAATGATGCACTTATCTTGAAATAAACATGTTCTATTCATACTTAAATATGGGGATTAGCTTTACTGTTTATTTGTTTGTGATGAAGTGATCGACGGGGATGAAACAATAACCAAAATATCATGATATTGTATCGTAAAAGTCTCACAATAATATCGTGGGCCATCACAATATATCAAATTACAAGTTTCTCTGCTTCTCATTGTTATCGTGCAGCAACAGCCAAAAAAACAGAACTACATAGACCATGATGCTTTGCTCTGTTTCAGTCCAATTTACATGATGAAATAACTAGTATGAAACATTTTACATGTAATTATTTGCATTATGAAAGAACTTAGCCTACACAAAATGTTGCAATAAATAAATCGTTCAGAGAGGTACATATAATATCGAGAGATTTAGATATGGTTACATCCCTATCGTTCACTTTGACAGAACTCTGGGTAATTAAGTATCTCTGAAAGTCTGAGTATCAATACCAGGACATTGTAACACATCCATGTTGTCGTACCTTGTCTCTTGAGAGCGTTCTTGGCGTGTCCCACTGCGTCCCACGGCGACGGAATGTCCAGAAACACGGCGTCTGCGACTCCGCTCACCCCAAACCCGTCTTTGCACACGTCCTGGTTCCTCACGGTGACCATGTGACCCACGCGGTGCTCATTGAACTCCTCCTGCACCTTCAGCGCCCTCTGCTGGTGGAACTCGACCGTGTGGAGGTGCCCCGACGGCGCGATGGAGCGGATGATGGCGTGAGACAGAGAGCCGCTGCCCGTACCTGAAGAGAGACGCACAAAATGGAACATCAGTCATGCACATCGGCCCTTTGCCTGAGCAGCCAGTCCCTTCCCTACATTCTGTTTGAATCCAGAAGTGTGGTAGCCCGTTTCACTTTGTAGAAACCGTCTGACCTCACAGCGTTAGAATTCGTTCGCTCAACGGTAGGCGGGTACTTTTTATCATTTAACAAATTGCTGCTATTTGGTCGTGACGTATGTAATGCGCCTCTAATGGAGCTAACTGGTAGATGAAGCTTTTCCCAAATCCTGTAGGAAGAAGAACAATAACGTCTTTCCCCTTGATCAAATTCACCAAACATTCTCTTTATTCCAGCTTTAAATCCTAGATCTCGGTAATCGTTGACAACTAAAAATATATGGCTCTTCACTGATTGGCTGGTGCCCGAACTCGCAATTCCAGGGTTTTTGCGAACCGTCCAGTGAATTCTAATTCCTGACCTAGTCGCTGGAGAGAAATGAAAGTAAGCGGAGGCACTAGGTGGCGCCAGCCTGGCTAGAAGTGTGGACTATAGAATGTGAAAGTCCTCTGTCCAAACTTGAGATGATCCAACCACAGCTTGTGTTTCTCAAATACAAAGACATCTCCTCTCATATTTTTCAGGACAAAATATAAAACTTCTTATACCTGATATAATAGTTTGTTTTGATTGTTGATTCTGTAAAAATCTGTGCCATTTCTCAGTCTTTTATGTACATTTTTCTCCTTTTTTATGTGTAAGCCACTGTTAGTTTTTGCGTCTCTGATTGGTTAATCCACCCGTCAATCACGCCCTTTGAAATCAGGGAGACAGACCACAGCTCCAGATCCACTCATCTTTGTAAAGTTTTGTTAAAGCGTATGGTTGTGGCTGGACAGGTGACATTGCCCCAACATTTTTGTTAACTAAACATAATTATTACAAAACACAGGGCTCAAAGGCAGAAAACATTAACATTTTATGGAGCTGAATTACTCCCTGATTGTGGGAAAGTTGTGTTTTAGTTTTAGTTTTTCCTCGAGGGATGCAGAAAAGAGGAAACCACTGTCTGTGTGAATGTTCATGTATATTAGCTCTTTGCAAATACTACACTACTACAAAATTTGAACTGTGGAACTGTCAGAGTAAAGATTTGTTGATCTGGTTTGTGGTTAATTTTTCTGTAATTACTGGGACTATCCACATGAAACAAAAACACAAGTTCAGTGTCTTCTCGGTCAGCATAAATAAGTGTTTTTCTTCGCAGTAGCTTCAGAATGTGGTGCCATTATTCAACCCCAAAGACGTGATTATTGTCAGCTGAAAGAATTAGTCTGAGTTTATGGAGCCAATCCCAAACAAATAAAGATATAATCCACAAATGCTGAACCCAAGTTTGGATTTCTTTTAAAAACAGTGAATCTCCCACAGAGTTATATGGACCCCTGCCTCAAACTGAAGGTCTAGAAAATATACTGCATTATATTTTGTCCATATATTGTTGTCTGTAATAAAAGCCCCCGATAAGCCATGCTCTGACAGTGAGACTGAGTTGTGCTTAAGACAAAGAGCACATCCGGAGTCTAAACAAAGCCCTGAGCTGTTCCTCTTTCAGTGTCTCTACAGTTTAAAGCCCCTCAGCTTAAGTGTTTCCTCTGAACAATGAGTCTTACACTACACATTAAATTACATAAAACACATTACACTCCCTGGGGTGTATAAGATGATGTTCTGACACATTTTAAGGGTGAACTAAATAAGTAGGGCTGCAACAACTATCACAATACATGCATAATCCATATTTATATATCGCACATTATACGAGGCAATACAGTATCATTTTTAGGAACTGAATACATTTTAGCAACAGTATTTATTTATTAAACTACTGCCTGTGCAAAGTTTATATGAATCATTAAAATATGTCAAATGTAGTTTCTTTCCACTAAATAAAGAGCTACAGCTGCTGACAATAACTACACTGTATCACGAAATTTAATATATTTACACTAATATCTTTATGAACAGTCTCTGACACAAGAGACATTCTAGATTTTTTAAAGAAAAGTAATAGTCACACTGCAGGACATTTGAGTGTTTAGTGTTAAAATACGAAGAAATGAAAAATGACTTCTTCTAAAAAGTTTGTCTAATTTATAGAATACATATTTGTGCACAGCTTTTGATTATGAAAATATTATTAAAATGTTTTATATTGTCGTCTAGTCAAAATGATTCCAGTTCAATGCTGTCAGTTTGTTATAGAGACAGTTTGCAGTTTGATCACAGTAAATCTGTGTCAGATGTTGTAGATAGTAAATTGCCTCCTCTGCTCGTCTCTACAGCCGAGTTTACGTCATCGCTCCTTTGTTTGAACGACCACAAAGAACCCAATGTTTAAACTGTTTGGACCTCAGGGGGAGAGAGGAAACTACAGTGGATTAGACAAAGTACAGGGAGGAAATGTACTAGTCCTGGGTTTAGTCCTGGGTTTAGTCCGGGTTCAGTCATGGTTCAAGTCCTGGTTCAGTCCTGGGTTTAGTCTGGGTTTAGTCTGGGTTCAGTCATGGTTCAAGTCCTGGTTCAGTCCTGGGTTCAGTCCTGGGTTTAGTCCTGGGTTTAGTCCTGGGTTTAGTCCTAGGTTTAGTCATGGTTCAAGTCCTGGTTCAGTCCTGGGTTTAGTCCTGGGTTTAGTCCTGGGTTTAGTCCTGGGTTTAGTCATGGTTCAAGTCCTGGTTCAGTCCTGGGTTTAGTCCTGGGTTTAGTCCTGGGTTTAGTCCTGGGTTTAGTCCTGGGTTTAGTCCGGGTTCAGTCATGGTTCAAGTCCTGGTTCAGTCCTTGGTTTAGTCCTCGGTTTAGTCCTCATCTTAGCCTCCGTGAATACTACGACAAATGATCAATGCATTTGAAAGAATAGATTTGTGACCTTAAGGCATAAACCCTGGTCACTGTAACCACAGAACGAAATAGCCAATGAACAAATCAATTTAATCGATACAATTTAACAAACCAGTCACGAAGCACTGTGATATTATTGACAGATGTAAGTCCAACCCACAACCTGAGAGGACAACCTGAGAGGAGACAGGATAGCCACTTCCTTCTTAGGTGAGTTTGCTGCCAAAAAAATAACAAAATAAAAGGACTTGGCCTGGCCCTCATGTGTCTGTCTCCATGGAGTTAAACAATCCAGATGTATTATGTTTGCTTGCTGCCCTTTATTTAGCTCTTTGTTATCATAATGTGATTTGTGAGCTACTATGTTCAAGTCATTTCCCTTGTGGATCAATATAAATTGTCTAAGTCGGTTTAATGCCAAACTGTGGAACATTGAGGCAAGTAATAACATCTCCATGGAGACAGGAAGGTGACTGACCCTCCACCATAAAGTTTAGGCCCAAACAGTAGCTCATTAAATAATAATAGTATCTAAAGCTTTATTCTGACAGTATTACTAGATTAGATTAAAATATATTGTCAGCACAATTATATATGAAATGTAATTTAGGATCTCACCACTACTAATCAATACTATAATTAGTATCAAAACTAGACATTTGAGCAGGTATCGATACTAAGAAAAAAGTCCCATTCACAGGACAGAAATGTATCTTTCCTGAATAACTGATCTTGAGCTGTTTCAGAACAAGTACACTACTGGTCTAAAGTTTTAGAACACACTTTTTCCAGTTTTTGACTGAAAATTATTCAGTTTATTGTGACACTGCACTCTGAAATGAAAGCATAGAACAACTAAGCAATTTGAGTTGAAAAAGAAATCATGGAATCAATTTATAAACCAAAACCTATTCTAAACTCATCTAGACTAGGCTCATCAAAGTGTCCACCTTTGGCAGATAGAACAGCTGAACACACTCGTGGCTCATTCTTTTTACAATAGAAATCAAATATGTACAGAAAGTTCTTCCCAAGTCTGTTGCAGAAGTTTCCATAAATGTGTGGCACTTGTAGGTTGCTTCACTCTTCTGTCCAGTTCATCCCAAACCAGCTCCATGGGGTTTAAGTCCGGACACCGTGCTGGACACTCACACACACACACACACACACACACATTTTCAAGCTTTACCATCTTGTTGTTTTGGGTGATTATGTTTGTTTTTAACCTCTGTCTGTTCAGTTCTTACCTTTGTACCATTTCAAGCTCTTCGTTGGATTTGCATGACTTGAATTACAATAAATAACTGAAAAAATTAGGGTGTTCTAAAACTTTTGACCAGTAGTGTATAAGACCATGGACCACTATGGAAGCTACCTGGACCACTGAGGGACTACACACATATGACCACAGGGGAATAGAAAAGAAAGTACTATGATTTAATGTTGAAAACTATATTGTTTAAGTAAAGATTTTTTGTTATCATTTTGGTATAGGAATCTGTACTAAGTGTCAAGCCTATTCCTCAGTATTAAAATCAAGTTTGAAATGTTTGTATTTTATTACATTTGAGTAAAGTATTAATATTTTACCTCTTTTGCTACCACTAAAACAGAAAATGGTGTCATTGCTAGTGTGGTAGTAAGGTTAGCTCCAGATTAGCCTTGTTTCGGTCATGAGCTGGTCAGAGGGTCACCTTGGGCTAAAGACTTTTTCTCTCCCCCTCTTTCCTCTCTCCCTCCCTTTCCTGTCTCTCCTCTACTTCTCCTTTTTGCTTCTACCCTCTCTCCTCCTTTCCTCACCCTCCTCCTCTCTCTCTCTCCCTCTCTCCTTTGACGTAAAGAACAGCTTTTTATTCCCCTGTATCAAAGTCAAACTGTTTACTCTGCAAATGCGTAACTCAAGGACAATGGACGCTTATGGTCAATACAAACTGCTGTTTATGTTATTAAAATATCCCTGTGAGATTTGGGGAGTGTTTCTGTCTAAAAGAATAAAACATTCCAAAAATACTGAAGTCTGTCGCTGTCTTTTACACGTACTTTCCTTGCATAACACTACACAAGTTCAAGGGGTCATTAAATATAAAGAGCTGATTGTTTGACTCCGTCTCGACGAGTTATAA